GACTTCGTACATTGCATCTGATTGTTGTGGCTCCTACCACTTTACATATATATATATATATTATACATATTGAATTAAATAGATAAACACCCAATTACATCCAATTCAGTGATGGCCCAAAGCGATTCTCAGACTGATTTCTTCATGTTCCTTCCGCTTCAGAGGATGGAACGCCGACTTTTCCACATCGGTGACCAGAAGAATATGGCGGCCGAAGACCGATGGCATCAGACAGTGCCCTATGAATTCGTCTGAGATGGGAAGGAAAAACCCAGCCGATGGTGCGAAATTCGGGTGGGTAAAAAAGATCCAGCTGGGGGGGGCACATGAGCCCTGAAAGGACCAGACTCTTTCCGAAGAAATCCACAGGGATATGCGCTCCGACGAAAGAGGAGAAGGTCTGTGTAGCGTTGGTTTGGCGGATCGGTTGGAGAACGACGTGAGAAGAAGGAGAAGCTCGGAGGCTCCCAACTCTACCCCAAAACAACATGTAAAAAAAAATATAGAAACATGAGAACAGTCGTGTTTCTATATATGAGCAAGGATGAACACCAGATGTCTACATACAAAGAACCAAGCCAATGTAACACAGCAACCTCTCTCACCACCGTGGCGCCTCATCGACCGCGGTGCGTGACAAGAGCTCTGCGAGGCGACCGGCATCAGTGGCCTCGTCGACCTGCCGCGACCGTCGAGCGCCGGAGGTTGGAGCCAACGGCGCTGAGGATTGGAGCTCACTCCGCCCAGCGAGGTTGGATCTTCTGAAGGTTCAATGAGTCTTATCGTCAGTTTTGATGGGTTTGCTACTGGGTGTGCTTTAAGGAGGCTGAAAACACGGGGACTAGGAACAAGCTGGTTGTTTGCTGCTGCTACTGTGGTATACTGATGGTTTCTTTTCTTGTCTTGTGGTTGGCTCGCTGATCTTGCTCTTGTTACTATTCTTTGGTCTCTTGCACTTGGCTTGCAACTCATAACCGTCCCAGTGCACTCCAGGGGTGCTCAGCAAACCATGCGTTCTGTCGATGAGACGTTCTGCCGGTGCCTTCTTTAATTACAACACACCGGAACTGTCTTGGCCAAAACAGTGCCAAAGGACATGCGTCGTGAGCTGATTGCAATGTTTCACAAATCGATATATTCTTCAACTCGCAAGCTTCAGCTCAAGAAATCAATTCCTGTTGCCTGCTCTTGGATTTCAGCACTTTGCTCCGCCATGTTCTTTTCGTCAATCCAAATGCTCTTAAGCAACGACATGGTGGCATCTGCACTCTGGTGCAAAAGCGTGGGATGAGGGCGGCCCCTGAAGCGACTGAAGAGAAATGTTCCATCTTCCTGAGATGAAAAGCAGTCAAGGGTTCTGACCACATTGAAAAGGATCAACTCGAACTGAGCACAAAGCATCTTCTTGCTTGCCAACATCAAATGTTAATTAAATTACCAGCCACCTATGATCATACATAAAGCTATACAAGGCTGCTAGTTTTCTTTGCTCTCCTGGCACCAGAAAGGCTCCACCCAACCCATTCCAGCATCTGAGACCTCTCAACTTGCATCGATCAATGAGCCCACACCACAAGACCAACCACCTGGCTCCTCTCCACTCTGAAATCAGCCAAGCTTCTCCCAGCTTGCCCTGGGCCAACCACCAGTTCGCCGCCTGCGCCTGCTGCTTTCCCAGCAGTTGCGCTGTGAAGATCTCCTCGACCGCCTCTGCCAAGGAGTCCACCGAGCCCCGTAGCCACGCCGCCGCAGTCGCGCTGAGCCCGGCCACTGGAGGGCCTCGCTGAGCCGGCGAAACCCCGAAGCGGCATGGGGGAAAAAAGACCAAGCGGGTGCTTGAGAGAGGCCAGGAGCCCCGTTCGTAGCGATGCCAGGAGCCCCATTCGTAGCATAAATGTTTAAGAGATCCCACCTTTTCATTTGAAGATTGATGGGATCTGTGATCTATGGCACGGCTTTTTCACCGAAAGTTTTCCAGAAACAACACACTCAGGGGAGTCTCTCAAGATGTTTTTCGCGCAGTCCATCTGGTACACAAGGTCTCTTGGAAAACGACCTGGAGACACCTTTGGTGTGCCCGAAACACTGCCTAGCAATTGGATCAATTCATCTCTGCCTCAGGCTCTGGGACAGACTCCTTTTCAGGCTCCTCTGCCTTTACCTCCTTCTGAGCCGTCTCGGGCTCTTTGGCAGACTCCTTCTCTGGCTCCTCTGCCTTCACCTCCTTCTCAGCTG